CCCGTCTCAGGGTTGCAGCTCTCAGGCTGTACTCAATTCCTCCCGTCTCAGGGCTGCTGCTCTCAGGCTGTACTCAATTCCTCCCGTCTCAGGGCTGCTGCTCTCAGGCTGTACTCGATTCCTCCCGTCTCAGGGCTGCTGCTCTCAGGCTGTACTCGATTCCTCCTGTCTCAGGGTTGCAGCTCTCAGGCTGTACTCAATTCCTCCCGTCTCAGGGCTGCTGCTCTCAGGCTGTACTCAATTCCTCCATCTCAGGGTTGCTGCTCTCAGGCAGTACTCGGTCTCCCCCGTCTCAGGGTTGATGCTCTCAGGCTGTACTTGGTCTCCCCCGTCTCAGGGTTGCTGCTCTCAGGCTGTACTTGGTCTCCCCCGTCTCAGGGTTGCTGCTCTCAGGCTGTACTCGATTCCTCTCTCTCAGGCAGGGAGTAGTATAGTCTCCCTTGAAGCACAGACAGTCCTTCTGCCACAGGCCCTGGCCAGCCTGTTTCCTTTCGGATCGGATCACCCAGCAGGGGTGAGTCTCGCCTCTCTGGAGGAGAGACCAGAGGGGCCGGCCAGGGCGTGTGCGGGTTGACAGGGTCGGGCTACGCATGGGTAGTGGCTCAGCCGCTCCTCCCCACTGCACTGTGTGGCCCAGGACCCCGGGGTCTTTGTCTGGCCTTGTGATGACTCTAAGTGTTCTCCTCAGAGGCTTTGCCATCCCCTTTTGTCCTTTCCCTTTGGTTAAAGGTCCCTTGATTTTTTCTTCTGTAATAAAGCAAAATTGTGTGATCTCTTTCTCACCAAGGAATAAAACCTCTTTGAAGGTTGGAGACATGATGTTTGGCTTTCAGGGGTAGGGTGGGCACTGTCTTGTGATCGTGGACCCTGGACCCTGGTGCGCTGAAAGCTGGGGGGCTACATCTCCAAGCAATGCCAGCCTTGGGCCCCAGCCTCCACTCCCTGAGGGCCCTGGCTGTGGGAGGGGCCTGTGGGGGCTGTAGGACGCTGGCTCTGGGCCACCCCAGTCCCTGCTGTCCCTCGGCCCACCCCAGGCCACTTGGCATGTAGGGAAACCGTGCCGGAGATCGTGGCTTTGCTTGTGTTGAATCATGTTTCTTTCTTATTTTCTCTCTGTGTATTTTTGTTGTGTGTCACTTTGTCCAGCCGGCCACCCTGTCTCCGGCGTGGACACCCTCCTTCCTCCATGATCCTCTTCGCCCGCCGCTGGCCAGAGGTGACCAGGCCTGGCTGTCAGCGCGGCCTCTCTCAGGGGGGCCATGGGGAGCTCAGCCTCCTCGCTGGCTGCCGAGACCGAGTCGGATCACGGCTTCCCTGGGGGGCCGCCCTACCCAGGGCCCCCAGCAGCGGCTGGCTGGTGTAGGAGTGGCCCTGGGGTGCCTGTCTGGGGAGGTGCCCTGGTCACCAGACAGCACCAGCCCCCACGCCCCCGGGCCCGAAGGTAAGAAGGTGGGGAAGGGGCAGCCCTGGAGGGGGTCTCGGGGCAGGAGGCCTCTGTTTTCAGGGTGTCCCTCCTTGGCAGAGGTGCTTGCAGTGAAGTGGAGTCCCTGTTCTTTGGGGCTTTCTGGCAACTCCCTTCCCCTCAAATATGCAGGAGCTGAGTGGCTCTGGGGTTGACTCCTCTCTTGGCCATGCAGGTCTGGGACCCCTGCCCCTCCTCCCCAAGTTGGGCTGTGTGGCCCCAGCAGGTTCCTCACGGTCTGTGCTGCTGATGGGGACGCTTCTTCTGGAGCTTGTTTTGGGGCTGGGGAGGCGCTGACCCCAAGCCCGGTGGCAGGTGCACACCGAGAGCGCTGGCTTGCTTCCTGTGGGACTTCAGTGCTGGAGGCCCTTGCTGGACACTGGCTGCTGCCCTCCCTGCTGTGGTAACCCCGTCCCAGCATGGCTGCCTGCAGGAGAGTTGGGACACGGGGGCCTCAATGGCAGACCCTCCAAGTTGTTGCTGAGGCCTTGGCTGTCTCCCTCAAGGATTCTGGGGTGACTGGTGCAGGGGCAGCCCGGGTAATGGGGTCCAGGCTGGCTGGACCCTCTCTGATGCCTGCTTGCACCCTGTCCTATGGCCTCACTGGAGGGAGGGGTGGCCTGCTGCTTACCAGATGCTCTGAGTTCTAGGGTCCTTGGGGCAGATGCAGCGTTGGTAACCCTCACTCTTCAGGGGTGCCCTGGCCTGGGTCCTGTGTGTGACATGCCTGCATGCCTCACTCTAAGGTGCCTGCTGGGCTGTGCTCAGCTGTAACTTCTCACAGACATAACTCACTCACGCAGGATAGCTTCCTGCTGTCTGTGGGACCCAAGCGTGTCCTGGGATCACCAGCTAGGTGGGAGGGGCCAAGAGTGCAGCCATGGACAGCGGATAGGGTCCTTATGGGTGTGCAGGAGCTGGTGTGGTCACACCTGGGGACTGGCCTCCTGGGGTGACATCGATGCTGAGGGCTGAGCTCCTGGCAGACAAGGGACCTGAGAGGGACACTGAAGGGGTCATCCGGGTGGGAGAGGCCCGGAAGTCTTACCTAAGAGTTACCCTGGTGGATAGGAAGCCATTGGGGAGTTAAGGTCCAGAGAGATGTGACATGAAGCAGGACAGTGTTGGGATGGCTCCTGCTGCCCCCTGCACATGACAGCATAGAGCCTGTCCCCAAACCCCACTGCTGCTGCACTGAGGATGCTCTAGTGACGTCTCCGTACGTGTCCTGGATGGTTTTATAGAGTCGTGCAGCCAACGTTGTGATCTAGTCTATGGCATCTCCGCACCCCAGAAACATCCTGCCTGTTTGCAGCCACCCCAGCCCCGCCCCAGCCCCAGCCAGACACTTATCTTCTCGCTGTCTGCCAATTTGCCTTTTCTAGAAATTTCACAGAGCTGGAGTCATGTAACCTGTGGCCCCATGTGTTTGGTTCTCGTGCTCAGTGTCCTCAGGGTTCATCCATGTAGTAGTGTGTGTCAGAATTTCCTTCCTTTTTTATGGCTGGGTAACGTTCCATGTGTGGACAGACCAGGTATGTTTATCTGTTCACGGACACTGGGCTGTTCCCACTTGGCTTTCATGAATGATGCTGCTCTGAGCATTCACGGACATGTTGCATGAACATATATGTTCATCCCTCGCATAGACATCTAGGAGTGGAAATGCTGGGGTTCATGCTGCATTTAGGTAACTTTCTAGGAGCTGCCAGGCTGTTTTCCAGAGTGACTGCACCATTTTCCATCACCTGCAATGGTGGGAGTTTAGTTTCTCTACATCCTCGATAACACTTGTTATTGTCTTTTTGGGTTTTTTATTTGTCTGCTTTTTTGGCGGCTGGCTTGTCCAGAATCTGAACCTGTGACATTGGTGTTACAAGTGTTGTCTTTTTAATTCTAGCCATGCTAGTGGGTGTGAGGTGGTAGCTTATTTGGTTTGATTAGTGTTTCCATGATGGGTGCTGAAGGTGAACATCTTTTCATGTTTCATCTATTTTTATTTCCACTTATTTGTACCCTGAGCACAGGTTGTTAGGATTAGAACTCCTGGGCCCCAGGCTGAGACCCTCTGAGGCTGTTGGTGCTGGGTTGCATTCCAAGTGGCATCAGCACACACACAGTCACGTGACTGGGTGGCTTTGTTAGTTTTAGTTTTTACTAGGTTCATGTGTACAAATGAAAGTGCACGGTTTTTAATTCTGAACTGTGTTTTTTCAAATCAGATTTTTAAAATTTACCTTAGTGTAATTTTTTCATCATAGAAATTCCACACATTAATTAAGAATTTTAAAGAGCACAGAGAAATGTAGAAAAAGGTATTTTTCTCCTCCCCATTTTCTGGAGGATAGGGGCTCTGAGCCCCTTCTCCGTGAGCCCCAGGGGGAGTCGCAGACCTGAGAAGGCCTGTCCAGGCTGTGGGCTCGGGGGGGGGGGGGGGAGGGGTGTGGGGGGGGGGGGGGGGGGGGG